CTTCTAAAATCGTAAAACGAACATAAAGAGGAAAAACAAATTCAAATTCTAACCTAACCTCTAGTACTAAATGATTTTTCTTTTTAAGAAGGACAAAGACGTGTGAACATGATACTGATCAGTCTCATAATTCGTCGTTAACATTAGAGATTCCATCTGTCTTCAAGCTATTTGGAAGCAGAATTAATGATGATATATGAAATGAGTCAAACCTGTATAAAGACCAGTGACCACATTATATGAAAACTTGTATTTTTAGGAATGTTTGGTCTCATCATGACTCTCATCACTGATCTCTGTCCAAATTTTCAGCTTGTCAATCGTATCACGTGGTCTATGCTTCAAACTGCAAATAAAGCTTAAATGCTTAATGACTTGAGCACCAATTAATAAAAATTTGCATAATCTTTAATTAGACATTTAGAGACAATAGTTGGAAAAAAATATAGAAGAGACAAGTGATCAAATCTCCACATACGTATATGATTAAAACAATCACTGAATATAGGGGAAAAGTTGAATAAAGTTTTCCCTTCAAATTATCAACCGAAATTTAAGCCATATGTTAACTAAATAAATAAATCAAATGATTTAAGTTATTTATTACATAGAACCTGTTTAATGGGAAATAAATCAGATAATTCTGAAATAAAAAGTACAAACTTGAATAGCCTAAAGAAAATAACTAGTTAAGCAGAGAAATTGATACATATAATTAATATGATACTTCTTAAAGTTAACTTATATATTTTCTTTTTACAAATTAGTATAAAGAAATATATTTTTGTGATATATATAATTAAAAAATATTCAACTATATATTTACGCCAAACTATGGTTGGGAAATAATGAAAGAAGAAGAAGAAATTCCTATGACTATATATCTTTACATCGGATGATATAGAAGAAGAGATTCTCAAGTAATTTCCCTATTTTCAAAAGATTTTAACCCCCAAAAAAAGATAGAGATGAATCATATTTTCCAGTTTTGGAAATTGTTATTAGTATTATCTTTACTTTCATTAATTATTTTATTGTTGTCTTTCTTTGCTTCTCAAACATTTTATTTTTTTTATATGAACATATAAAATGTAGAGAGAGGTTGAAGAAATTTTAAGAGAGAAATTCTTATAAACAAAAAAAAATCAAGTGGGACAATTTTGCATTTTATTTTTGTCATACACTCAACAAAAATGTCATGCTCTGTTCCTCCTTGTCTCCCTCCTCCACTAGAGAACACAAAATTCTCTAGTTGTCTTAGTCTCGGACCGAATCCCCAAAAAACCAACGAAATCTTCAACAAGATTTTCATAGAAAACTACTCGAAAGTAGCTTTGGAAGAATTCCAATCAGATCCAGAGCTAAGAGTGAATGTTATCAAAAACATCATCGCATCTTTCAATTGTCAATTCCATCATGAGATCATTAAGGAGGATTTAGGTTTCGCGCTACGGATGATAGGTGAATATTCATCATCTACAGATATCGAAGATGGATTATCAGTTATCAAACGGAGCATTGGAGAATTACCTTTCCCTAATAATCACAATCAAAATGTTCAAACATATCATTGGTTTGAAGAGGGTCGTCGTAGACTAATCATCGAAGGAGATTTGAAATTTCAATCTCAAATAGCTATAACACTAACCAAACTTATCGATAAACTAAATGTCTTTCTATCTAAGAGTTCTCCAGCAAGAATCAGACAAGAACGAACAGAAGCTGTTAGGTTAATTGTGTCCATGCAGTTGCTACCTAAACCCGTGAATTTGGGATCTTCGACGATTGTTTTTTACAGTGGAGAAATCAGAAGATGCATGAGTTCTATATGCCATCAAGATAAAGAGCTTAAACAGGTTTGTGAAAAAGCAAATGGTGAAAATTTGGTTAACTTGCTTTCCAAGAAATTGCAAGATGATCATCAAAGAGATTTGAGTGACCAAGCGTTGTATCAATTGGTAAGTATCCTCGATCATCTAAACGCTTGGTCGTTAATAAATTTAATTCTACTTCTACATGTATATGAAATGGTTTGATTCTTAAATGTTTGTTGTTATTGTCTTTATCCATTAGGAAGCAATCTTTTTCGGATCCAAAAATGTTAGTGAAACATAGGGAGAGGCGATATATATGAATCAATACCCAAGCCGAGACCAATTTCCAGAGGAGTATAATCTTTATATGTCTGTTTTATTATCGCTTAAATGTTATTTTTTTAATATTAAGCTAATAATTTGTGTGCCGAATAGTTGAATCCGTGATTATGCAAACCCTTGTTCAAATTACAAATTTATAGTATTTATTTTGATATTATTCTAGCAATGTTGGAATCGATTATCTAGGGATTATATAACATTCTGGCAATATAAAAGCCACATTTGTGTTTTCTTTTTCCCGAAATTGAAATTTGCAATGAACAAACATCCGTCTATGCAAATGGATGGG